AATCAGAATTATTGAAAAAAAATTACTATTAATCTCAATAAAATAATCTGCTTCTCTAAACCGATCTAGAGAGAAATACTCATCCCATTATTTATAAAGTATTGTTAAAAATTCATTGCAAAATTTAAAAAAAATAATATAAAGATTAATTTTTTCATTACATGCTTGAGTTAAATACTAAATTTAAATATTCTTTGCACATACACGGTTTTAAATTCTTAGCCTATACATTCAAAGAGTAGATCCTGTGTGTTCAGATTAAAGTCCATGAATATAAATTCTAAAATACCAAAAAAAAAAATTCAAAATTGTAATTTCATACAATAAAAACTCTAACTTTTGTTTCAGAGCTTTAAATTAAGAAATATACACTTGGATTCCCAGTAATAAATTTGTGACACATTAATATATGGCCTCAATAACTTAATTTAAAATCTACAATTTAATACATAAAAATTATAAACCATCAGGAACAACAATTCCAAAAGAAATCTATCAGAAGATGCTTATCTTTAAATACTTAAGTAACATCACGAATATACTGCATTCCTCGGTAGGCAGAACAATTTAGCATAACATTTTTTTTTCATTTAATATATACATAAATGACTTTAACGTAGAGCTTCGCATAAGTGCATTAAAATTTTTCTAATCATTAAACGGAAAAGTAATTATATATGTAAAAAGTGACTATTTATTTGACCCTAGTGAGATACATTAATACGTAAACAACGATTACATATTTCATATTAGCTTTTATTTATCTGATTATATGTAATATTATTTCTCAATTCTTTAATAAAATGTCGTAGTGACCATTGCAATCTTAAGCGCATAGTACTATTTTTCTATAGTATTTATTGATTTTGTAGAATTTTTAAATCTGTTATCTGAACAATAATTTAAAGGTACTTGCAGGTTCCACTCAGCAAAATATATGTTAAAGGAACTTGGTACGATTTACACAATTTTTTTTTAATTTAATGATTTTCAAAATTATTTTGGTTGTCAACTATGTGCATATATGATGTAAAAGATTCTGTGCTCAAAATTTCAAAAACAGCTGATCATTTATTTTTTTTAAGGAAACAAAAGTAAAAGGTAAAAAATTTTTAAAAGGTGAATTTCAGGTTACTGCATTTTTAAATTCTTCAGCTCATTACCTTTCCAAAAATACCTCATTTTGATCTCTAGCTTAATTAGAAGTGCTAAAATTTTGTTTTTAAAGAATCGTCTAAACGCGAGTCACCGATTTAAATGGACAGAAAAAAAGGTAAAAAATTGCACTTCCTCTTGGGTCAGCTTGAAGTTTGACGTCATTTTTCAAAATTTCTTTAGGGCATATTATGAAACGGATGGGATCTCGCCTCCGACGTTTCAAAGCAAAAATGAGGGGGCAAAAATTATCAGATGGCAAAGCATTGTGACAAAAATAGATTAACAGAAGCAACTATTGATCAATTGCAAACATATTATGGTCTTGCCATTCGAAGAAATTTATCAAATGTAAAGTGTATGAAACAAGCTATATGGGCAATATATCTTCACAAAATATCTACGGATAAAAATCCACAGCATGGATTTTGTTCATCAGGTCTTGACACATGGTATCAGTGTAAGAAGGCTCAATTGGAAAATAAAGTTTACCTCCACAAACATAAACTTCCAGTTGCTGTTGTTGAAGCCATTAGGCCTATTTTTAGGGACCTTTCGGATCCCGAATTATTGAAAAAGTGCTTGCATGAAAACACGCAGAATCCGAATGAAAGCATTAATAATGTTATTTGGTCTCGTGTCCCCAAAAAGACATTTGTGCACATAGAAACACTTTCCTTTGGTACATATGATGCTATTGCATCCTTTAATAAAGAGAATGCAACAAAGCTGGATATTTTTAAAAAACTTAACATAGTGCGAGGATATTATGCGACAGGCTGCATGGAACATCTCGACAAAGAGAGCAGTACAAGGCTAAGATATGCCAATTTACAGAAAACTAAGAAGACTAGAAAAGTAAAAAGACTTAAAAGAATGAAACAAGAAGATGAAAATTTAAAAAATGCTGAAAATTTGGAATATGGAGCTGGAATGTTTTGATAAGGTAACTTTATTTATAAAAATGTGTTTTTCTCAAAATGTCACTTTTGAAGGTTCGATGTACCTTTTCTCAGAAAGTATATATCTGATGTCAACAAAACTTACATGATACATTTTTATATATTCTAGTATATACTGAAATGAGCTTTTAGCAAAATTTTGTATACTTTTTTTTTATAATTTTTTTTCTGTCGAAAAACATTGTTTTCTCACTGTACATCAAATAAAAATTTTTAAAGAAAAACTAATGGAAATTTAAAAAAAAACTCATTTCAGTATGATATTAGATGTACGCTTAACGTGCAAAAAAAATTTGGGGATTGTATTTCCAACAGGTTTTTAGAAAAGGTACATTGAAAAAGCCCTTTTTAACATTATCAGTATAGAGCGTTCCGATACCCCTTAAGACTTTTGAAGGGTATTTAAAATACTAATCTCCTTTTACAAAAATTGATGTACACAGACGACATTTGATTTAAAAGTACGTCAAACTATGTATAACCAAAGTTGGTATAATTTTTCTTCTAACATGATTGATATCCATACACACACAGTATATTTTTTTTTATAAATACTTATTAAAAATTCCTTAAAATTGTACAAATTCTAAATTCAATTATTTTATATAAAAAACAAGTATTGCTTTTTGATTCAAAAATGCATACCAACTTTTGTTGCATGTATTATTAGCAATACTTAGAAAAAATATCTAAGCATTTGGCACAATAAAAAAAAAGTCTTAGCATTTTTACCGAAGACAAACTAGTTATTTTACCTTTCTGAGATAAGTCAGTTTAAAGCTTTAATTTCCCATAGGTATGTGAATAAAAGCGATCTTAAAAGTTATCGTTTGGATTTCTTTAAACTTTCAAATTGTGTGAGATTTCAGAAATGTGTGCAAAGAATAATTTAGGCTAAAAACAATTGCATTTTATTTTTGATAGATTTTTGTCAATTGAATCGTACTGTGTCCCCTTAATGTAAAAAATTAGAATTTAAAGTGTTTTTATATACATTTTTACATATTCTAAAGCCTGTAGCAGTGAGGAATCAAAAATAAGTCTAAAAGTTATCAATAGTTCTGCTGACAGTTAAAGTAGAAAATGACTGATTTAATCAATATTATAATTTGAATACGAAGTAATAATTAAGCAAAATGAGTTTCATTTAGCCCTTTTTCAAAAAGAAAAAAAAATTATAAAATTAAAAGTAGCTGTGGGTTTAAATATCAAACGAAAGACATTCACATAATCCTGAGGTTTTCGTTGCAGTTATTACAATCATGAAAAAAAAAGGCAAACCTTCCAGCTTGACAAATATTTGACCATTATAGAGAAATGCTAGTATTTTGGAGAAAGTCTGTTTGATGAATGGGTATCAAGAGAAAAAGGAGAATATTGCAAAATACTGCATGAAATATACTTTTTTTTCAATTCCTACTATTAGTTCACACTCTATATTTATCTTGTTCAAATTTTCAATCGTTAATGAAATGCATTTTAAAGCACTCAGAGCTGAAATTTCATATACACAATTATTTTCGATGACAATACAGTAATTTATTTATAATTAATAAAAATTAATTGATTAAAACCAATTATTCAAAGAATTACAAATACAGCCACGATGGCATCATTGTTGGCGACTTAGCGACCATATTGGCGACTTGTGTCAAAGCTTGAAACTGTTTATTTCTCACATTTTAAAGCACTCGTTTGAGCTGAGATTTTCTATACACAAATGTTTTGGGTAACAATACGATAACTTAATTATAATTAATGAAAATCAATTGACTGAAATTAATTACTTAAAGAATTACAGATGCAGCCACGTTGGCTTCATTTTTAGCGACTTGTTTCAAAACTTCGATCTTTTTTTCTTACGTTTCAAAGCATTAAGTTGAACTGAAAATTTATATGCACGATTGTTTTGGATGACAATACGATACTTTAATGATAATTATAAAAATTCATTGCCACTTAATGCTGTGATTCGGGCATATGTATATACATATTTATATTAATTGTAACTATTTAATAAAAAGAAACTAATATATATATATTTTTGTTGGTCCAAGTAGGAATTGACTTAAGACATTTTTTATATTACTTGTTCAATCTTAGAGTAAATTCAGCATTTGCAGAAAGCTAAGCCAGTTCATTTTTTATAAGGATTATTAATTAATTTTAAAAGATTTTGAAAAGCATTAACTTCAAATTGGGGTAAAAATACAAACACATACATATAAAACATAAAATTAAAAAAATTAAGTGAATAAATACTATTTGTGCAATCCAATGATTCTCAATTGTATAAAAGATCTCAATGCCAAGATTCTGATATTCTGCAATGCCATTATAATAATAGTTGTTGACATTTCCTTGTAGGAAAAAGTTAAGCTGAAAAACGTATATTCTTTTCAACTGCAATAAAATGTCGTTTGATAAAAAGATTTTTAAAAAATGTTTGCGTCAGCTCTTTTAAAATTTGGAGAAGCATATTTGGGTATATACAGTGGTCCATTGGAAGCATTGTGCAATCAATAAAATATACTTGCTAATTGAAATAAGTAAAACTAAGAATGAAAATATAGCTTCTGCACTAAACAAGTCAAATAAAAAAGTTAAAGAATTAAAGCCAATTCCTATTTAAGTCAACAAAGAAAAATTTTATTTTAGTTACTATTTTATTAAATAATTACTATTAATATGTATATACATATGAGGAATTCACAATATTAAGTGGCAAAACAGAAAGCGAGATTTTCCTTGAAATTTTCCATTTTCCTTTCTATATATGGTGTTGGTCTATTTTTATTGTTTGTTAATTTTATTCATTAATTATACTTAATTATTTCTATGAAACAGTATGGGCAAAAAAATCGCATTCTCAAAAATTAGGCCATTTCACCGTGCGATTTTAACACACGACCTTTAAATTTCAAGTCCAACGCGCTATCCATTGCGGTAATGAGTGTGAGTGAGTGAATATTAACGTCGCACTGATTAGCAACACGAGGGCTTTTGGCGACGGTCCGCGTAATTTTGAAAAATGGTCAAGTGACGCGGACGACACCTAAGCTGGCACACCCCTCTCCTAACTACCACACCACACCACACCGCACCAACGGGAGGACGTTTGAGCTCTCGACAGATTTAACGTGCATCGCTCCCCTACACGGCAGATCTTTAGTGGTACTGGGATCGAACTCTTGACACGCTAGCCATGATCCGATGCCTAGACCACTTGGCCACATCCATTGCGGTAAAGGGACATAACGAGCAATTTTGCTTTTTATATGGGGTGTTAGACTATTCTTTTGTTACTATTTATTTATCAAAGAATGAACTAATATTTGAAAAAAATTGTATTAATATGAAGTGTCATCCACTACAAGTTTAAAAAAAATGTATTTTAACTTGAGTGGATGTACAAAAAGTATTTTATTAACGATTGAAAATTTGAAATATATATATATATATATATATATATTTATATATATATAGGGAGACTGTAAACTAATAGTAGAAATTGAAAAAGAATGGAGTTAAATGTCCTTTTGATCGTCTAGTAAGGAAAGTATAATCTTTTAATCAACAAAATGCTAATGATCTAAGTGTCAATATTTGTCCAAAGAAAAGTTCTTTCAACTTATCCGGTGCCTTTAAAATCAATTAGGGGAGAAATTTTCAAAGAAGATATATCTAATGTGGGAAAAATTGTGTATCGCGAACATACGTGGAAATTCTACATATGTATTCCCCAGTCCCAATTCAATATTTACACAAATATTTATCGATACAATGTGTATTTTTAGGCAATTGTATTTATATTCACTTACACGCAAGATTTGAGTTCTATCAGAAGATCGTAGCTTATTTCATTAAAGTGTTGTTCAAGCAAGTGGTTAATAAAGAAACACGAGCGAGAGATTGACCACTAACCTCGTCATTTTAAACCTTAATATAGTGGCTCCAAACTACCACACCACTTCAACGGGAGTACTTTGATCCTCGACAGGTTTAACGTGCATTAGCCCCTCTACACGACACGTCTTTAATAGCAGTAAGGCTCGAACTGAATGACCCTCAGCTTTCGAGTTCATGACCAAAACCACTAGGTTACCACGACTATATAAGTATTAGTCAAACTGAAATTTGGAGAATGATAACAATTCAATGCATCATATATAAGAAAAAAACAAGTAACATTACAGATGGTGAACTAAGAAAAGAATTTAACATAGATACAAATTTTTTGTGCAAACCTGCTTCTCATCAATTAAGTCTAAAAATGGCGAAAAACAAATACTCATTATTCAGCTGCTTCTAAGTAAAAAAAAAAACCGATATATGTTATCGAATACATTTGAATAAGTAATTATATAACACAGTACTTCTCAATTTTTCAGTGATTACGATTCAATTTTCAATCATAATTTTCATCGCCCCCCCCCTTCACACTATAAAAATATATTGAGTGCAAAAATAATGCCCTTTGGCGTTAAAGCTGCAATACGATTTTATTCATAAACCGTTCAAATTATCAAAATAAGTATTAATTTTTGTATATGACAAACCTATGTAAATCAATATAGTAATTTTTAAACTTGTTCTTAATTTAGTATTTTGAGTTTAATTATCAATATAGATTGTGTAGTACTGAAACATAAGCATATTATATCAGTGTAAATGTGTATTTTATTTTTTTATTATGTAGGAATGTGTATTTTGTTTTGCTTACATTCAGTAAATTTGTAGTTTTTAAAATCCTTTGTTTTTTAACTTTTTGATATGCTCGCAGCCCCCTCGCAGGATTATCACGTCCCTATAGAAGTGCGTGCTCCATAGTTTCAGAAGGGCTGACATAACACAGAAAAGCAAAGTTCATTTTAATATTAGACTTAACAATCATTTAAAGTGCTAAAAATGCATTAAGATGAACGTATATAACATACAATGCGTCTTAAAAATTAATATCTGAAATTCATTCGTTCTTTCTAAGGACAGTAAAAATTTATACGTATTGTAATTCGTTATCAGAGGAATGATTTTAACTCATTCAACTATATGCAAAGCAAAATAATGACAATTGAATAAATTTTGCTCTAATACAAGATATAAAATTTAGATTTTTACTACTCTGTTAATATCTTGAAAAAAATAACTATACGAAAGACTAGAGTAAATATAGACTTCGATCAATACAACGAATAGTTGCATATTCTTATAAAATATATAGAATAACCAAAATGGATAGCAAATAGGAGAAATTGCTGATATTCATTTATAAAAAAACGGAACATACGAATAATAAACCCACAAAGCCAATTGTATAAAACTGCAATGACTCAGAAAAATGTTATCAATGATATTAAAATGAGTAAATATTCAATGAAGACGAAATAAACATTTATACACCTTCACACGCTGATGAATCAAAAATTAAATTTTTTTACTGTAAGAACTTGATTCTCGAAAAATTTAGAAGAAATATATTTTATGGAGAAAATTTCTGCTTTAAAGGATTCGTGAAGTTTTTTCAGAATCAAAAATAGTTTAAAATATTATAGCAAAAAGTTTTGGAAAAAATTTCAAAATAAGAATATTCTTCATGTAGCGTACAGGATAATGCATCCACTAGCCATTTTTTTTAAACATTTATAAACCCCGTGCACCACCGAACGTATAACACGGGGGTAAACAACACAGACAGAAGAAAGGATTACAACACAAACATCCATGCCTTCTCCGGGATTCGAACCCAGTCCCTGCGGCACCGCAGTCAGCTTCACTGACCACTATACCGGATGGGCGGCATCCACTAGCCATTGTCCACTAAATGTGTTGAGTATTTCATGAATTTGTATGACTACGTTGTTTTAAAATTATTTATATCCAAGTCCTACCGTTAAGCTTTTGATTGCATTCAAAAACATACTTATAGTCCTCACCTCTTGATTGAAACTAAACAGGATTTAAGTTTCTAAAGCGTATACACATTTACCTTTTTTGCCCACATGACCCCTATGTAATTCATACTTACCATCATCAGCATGACAACACTTTGTGGTCCTCAGTTTTCCTCAGAAGTTTTTCCCATTCTACCCTTCTCCAAGCAATTAATCTCCAGTTCTTCACTTTTAGAATGGCAAAGTCCTCATACACACAGTATTTCCATCCTTTTGGGCCATCCCTTTGGTATTTTTTTAGAGGGAGTTGCAATAAAGATTTTCAATTCTTTTCGATCTTGATTCGTTCAAAATTATATCTTTCTCTGAAACAGCTATTATCAAAACCAGCACCAAATATGGTTCGCGGGACTTTCCTTTCACAGGTCCGACAAGAACTTCTCTACTTTTTTTTTTGTCAAAGTTCATGTCTCTGCGACATAAGTCAAAACTGATTTACTTTGTACCTTATCCAACAAGATTTTTGTCATTATATTTATTAAGTTAGACTACAGTAATGCTCTTAACAAAAAAAAAAAAACGATTAGCTGCGATAATTATTTTTTTGATTTCACGATTCATGTCCTAGTTTATGCATATAAATATGTGGAAAGTGCCCGAGAGATATCCAATTTTACGAAGCATAAATACTGTATCCAAAATTCTTATATTTAGAATGATATACAAGTCCCTTTTAAATTGTAATTCTTCAACAATATTTTCAATTCACAAACTCAATAAATAGCGATTAAGAGGGTTCGTTCACCCGTGTAATAAGTGCAAAAAATCAAAAAATTTTTTTCCATAAATTGCTTCTTTAGCATGTCTAAAATACGGTGGTAAAGTGATTTTTTTTTAAATTCGAAGTCGTTATAAAGAAGCAAGTGTTAGAAGAGCAGCTGTTCGAAGCGCTGAGTTGGCAATCGAAGGCTGGGCCTATTGTGCACGATCGGCTTCATACCATTGATCCTTCTATGCAAAGGTAGGTTCCTACAAGTTTGTAGATGTTTAAAAGGAAATATTTAGTTGTTGAATATTTCGTTGTGAACTTGTTTCAGTCTTCACCACCAGGCATCGATGATTGAGGGTAAGTTAAGATTTTCATTGTTTAATCGGACTTGAAACTTTAAACGCGTTTTTCTCAAAACTGTGTTTTTCAAAATTTTCTCTATCGTATCTCAAGAACAATATGACCAAATGACTTTATATTTATATGGTAGACTCAGCATATACATACGCATCAAATGGATTACGATCATTCAAAAATTTAAATAGTTATATTTTTATAACAAAAACATAAAAAAAACCTTGAAATTCGAAACTTTTTCTTCAGAGGTCTACCAAAAATCTAATTTTTGATATTTTCAACTGAATGAGGAATCGTCGAGGAAGTGAGCGTCTTTTTTTCCGAAACGAGTGTGTTCAGAGCACTACAATTCACGTTGTATTAAATATTTTTGGCTGGATATTTATATACATACTCTTAAAATATATGTAAATAAATGATAGAAAGCTTAAAGTTCTATCTTGTTCTATCTTTTTACTGGTCGTCGAAAAAAATTCTCTAAAAATGCTTAAAAACCAGGCTGTCACATGGGTGAACCCCCTTAAGTCCTAACACGTTCATTTGTGATGGGAAATAAAAGGGGCTGAAAGTAAGGCCTCTTAAAATGGTTTTAGAAATATTTTAGGTACACAATGTATTTTATTCATTCAAAGAAACAAAGAATTAAAAGGAGCTATTGAGTATATGGCACAGAAAAATAAATTACAAAACCTCACAACTAAATTTAATTTTAATTTAAAATTCTAAGAATTTAAAAATGAGTATCATAAATATTTTATAGAATTATAATACTATTCGAATATCTTTCGTTAGTATTCACTCTGAGCTGGGGTTGACAGAAAGGAACAAAGTAAGGACATTACTCATGTGTGTGTGCTTTGGAAGCATTAATACACACGGAATATAACACAGGCTATCATTCATCTCGTGAAAGTAAGAGCAAGATCTATCAACTTC